TACATTTTTGTGCTATTTTCTTAATGGGTAAGCATCAATTTAAATTTTAAAAAAAAAAAAAAAAAAAAAAAAAAGGGGTTGTAACAACGCTGCAGTATTGTAGTTAATGATTTGATAAAAGGAATCAGGCTGTTGATTTGGTCGACCGGTACCTGAAATGTCAATAAATGTTGCTCAGATCTTCAACTAGTAGAAGTTCAAGCAAGTCGAAACAGTGGAAGGAACCCATTCTTGTTATATGAAATTTAAGTGGACTAGACAGAAGTCAATATAAAAATATACAAACATTTTTCTGAGCCTCTCTTCTTTCTGGCTCAACAGCAAAAGCATTATATTATTCAAACTCGAAAATCTGCGTTCCACTTATAGGCCCCATTAACCTAATCAAAACCTTCCTTGAGCCATCTATAATGTCATTTCCCTTCTCATAACTTTGTACATAGAATTTTCATAGCAACTTTCTCCCTAAGATGCTACCTCTTCCACCACGTCCATGTCCACCGCTCCCGCTCTCTCAAACACCATCTCTGCCGCCTGCGAAAATAACCAAGCCATTTCCTTTCCATCAGATTATCATATCAAAGTTAGACATTTCTTGGTTTAGTACTTAGCCTTTTTCCATCAGATTATCATATCATATCAAAATAACCAAGAGATGAATAACAAGAAAATATAGACATTTCGTTTCACTTTATTTGCTTGTGTTCTTGAATTTGATCTAAACAATCTGTTGTTGTAAAGAATTTCGGTTGATTTGTAAACTAAATATGCAGTAAAAATCGACAACATACAATGAGAACAAAAAAAATAACACAAGAACACCAAGTTGTTGACCCAATTCAGTCGTAAATATGCCTAATCTGGGGGGCTCAGGGACAGCCCGTTCCATTATGGCACAATCTACCTTCCAAGAGAGCAAGAGTACATCAAGAACCACTCAAATCTTACAGTTTCAGTCACCGATCTAAAGATATCATGAAACACACAACCACGAAATCAACCAATCGTTTAGGAGTTTTACAGTACAAGATCAGCCACTCTCTCAAGTCTGATCATTAACCCAAAATATAAACTCCATGACCAGATTGCAGAAACTATATACTAAGAGAAAGATTTACAGATTCAAAGAAAAACTTGAAGAAGCAGAGAGAGAGACGCCAAAGAGAGAGAGAAGGAAAAATCTGGAAAATTCACTCCAAAAGTCACGAGACTTTTGGGTTTATTTGGACGGTTACATCCCAGGGATGATCTCAGTTGTTGATTTAATCCAATGGTCCAAAACGAGTCTCAACTAGCACAATCCAAGTGAGTATCATGTATCCAATAGTCAAGTGCCAATTAGGCAGAATTTTCCAAGTAAGCCGAAACCTCAATTGACAAAAGTAGCACTCGTTTTAGAGTGTTTTGAGAAACACTATTTTTCACATTCTTCACCTTGATTCTCAATAACACTCGCTCTCTGGTTGCTGAAAGTGCCATGGAACAACTGTCCATCATCATCGCCCTAATACCTGCAAAAGAAAATTAACCTGTGTCAATATGAAGTAAGGATAAACATATTTTAAACTTTCTTACAGGTAAAACTTTGGTTCCCATATCAGAAGGATTTCAATCAGTATGAACTTTAATCAATTTAACTTCACCTTGAGATATTTTTTCTCTTATAAAGTGATACTTCACCTCGATGTGTTTCGATCTTTCATGATAGACAGGATTTTTACTAAGTAATAGAGCACTTTGACTATCAGTGTATAAAATAGGAATATCGTTCATAAAATTCAGTTCCTTTAAAATCCCCATTAACCAAGTACATTCTTTCACAACTTCAGTTATGTCTACATACTCAGCGTCAATGCTGGACAATGTAACCAATGGTTGCAATTGTGATTTCCAAGTTATGCAATTTTCCCCAAGGGTAAAGAAATAAGCTGTAGTAGATTTTCTACTGCCTTTGTCACCAGCAAAATCAGCATTAACATACCCTTTTAAAGTTAAATTTTCAGATCTTTACTCATATACTAATCCCAGATTTAATATACCAACAATATACCTAAGTAACCATTTCATCCCAACCCAATGAGGCTTGCCAGGATTGGACATAAATCTGCTTAGGAAACTGATTGCATAAGCCAGGTCAGGTCTAGTTGTTATCATGGAAAACATTGCAGAACCTATGGCATTTGCATAGGGTATATTTTCCATTTCCTTCATCTCTTCTCAGATTTAGGGGAGTGAGTTTTAGATAGATTCGTGTGGGCAGCTAGGGGTACATTAACCGTTTTACTATCTTTCATACCAAATTTGGTCACAACTTTATTTAGGTATGCTTCTTGTGTGATGGTTAACTTGTTTTCAGATCTGATTCTTTTTATAACCATCCCTAGAATTTTTCTAGCATATCCTAGGTCCTTCATATCAAATTCAAATTTCAAAAGATTCTTTAATCTAGAAATTTGAGACTTATCAGGACTAGCCAGAAGCATATCATCTACGTAAAGTAGTAAGTAAATTCCCCTCCACCCCCACTTTTCATATTGTTATAGTATAAGTAAGCATCAAATTCACTTCTTTTAAACCCTATCTTTGACACATATGCATCAAACCTTTTATACCACTGTCTAGGGCTCTGTTTTAGCTCATACAGTGATTTTTTTAGTTTACAAACATATTCATTTTTGTTTTTAACTTCAAAACTTTGAGACTGACTCATGAAGATATCCTCTTCCAATTCCCCATGTAAGAATGCAGTTTTCACATCAAGTTGCTCAAGTTCCCAATTATATTGAGCAACCATGGCCAATATCAACCTTATGGTTTTATATTTGATTACATAAGAGAATATTTCATTGTAATCAACTCCCTCTATCTGAGTATACCCCTTTGCCACTAGTCTAGCCTTAAACCTAACAGGGTCAGATGGGTCATTACCCTCTATAAGCTTGTAAACCCATTTATACTGCACTACCCTATGATCATTAGGTTTTTTAACAAGCTTCCAAGTTTTATTTTCATTCAGGGATTGCATTTCTTCTTTCATGGCCTGTGACCAATTTTCAGAATTTTTCCCATGAATAGCTTCTTCATAAGAAGTTGGTTCAGCTTGTTCTATTTCTTCTCTAGAGACTAAGACAAACTCAATCATATTTAATAGTTCATATCTAGGATTGGGTCTAGGTTGTCTTCTTACCCTATCCCTAGTTAATCGATAGTCTTGAACATCAGTTTGTTCAGCAGTATGTTCAGGTTCTTCAGTTTCAGCCCCATTCTAGGGTTCATTAGGCTCTACAGGTTCAGTAACTTGTTCAACCTGATGATGTACAACTTCATTTTCATCATCTCCAGGTTGAGATGAGTAATTTAGTTAACTTCACTGGTTGTTTACAGATTCATTTGTTCCTTTAGAACTTTGTTTTAGGCATGATATTTCTGATTCATTAAATATTACATCTCTACTATTAATAATCTTAATACCTGGAACACCTAAAACCCACAATCTGTAGCCTTTAACATCTTCTGGATATCCTAGCATCACACATTTGATGGTTCTAGGTTCCAACTTTCCTTCGGATTGATGTGCATATGCTGCACATCCAAAACCCCTTATATGAGTTAAGTTTGGGGTTTTTCCTGTCCACAATTCTTGTGGGGTCTTAAGCCCTATACTACTAGAAGGGTACCTATTAATCAAGTAAGCTGCTGTACAAGCAACTTCAGCCTAAAACCCTTTAGCCAAACCAGAACTAATAAGCATGCATCTTACTTTATTTATTATAGTCCTGTTCATTCTCTCAACTACCCCATTTTGTTGAGGTGTGTATTTCACAGTCTTATGCCTTAATATTCCTTTCTGTTTATAGAAATTATCAAATTCTATATTACAGAACTCCAGCCCATTATCAGTTCTTAGGGTTTTTAATTTATTCTCTAATTGATTTTCAACAATTTTCAGCCATGTTCTGAACTTCTGGAAGGTTTCAGATTTAGGCTTTA